ATTAGTTACGCTACTGTTGACATCCCTAATATGAACACTAAAATTAAGCACATAAATGGTTATTTTTTGCATAAATTAATTTTATCAAATAATAATAATCATGCAAAATCCAATTTATGCAAAGTATGAATATTTTTAGAAGCTAATAAGTTTAGGGTTTAAAAAAAACTATTTTTAAGAGAATTTACTTTTCTATACAAAAGGCTTAGCGACAGAACTTATTGTCCGTTTGCCTTATCATTCGTTGTACGATGACAACTAAGATGTAATATCCTAAACATCTTTTTGACTTAAAAAAAAGTTTATTTTTAAGATTATAACAAAAGTTTATAAAAACTACTTTACAATATTTAGTAGCAACTTACAAGATCCAACGATTTTACAATATAACAATTTCCATTTTAACTCATGTATCGTAAGTTATAAATAAATCTTAATTAATATACACTCTTAATATTCCGTATTGGACCTGCAAAGCCCAATCCAAATAATATCAACCCAAACCCATCTCGTATATCTTTCTACAAATACGTTTATAAGCCTCACTAGGGTTTCCTCTTTTCCCCATTCGAGCCGAGGACCCAGCAGGAAGAAAGAAAGAGGTAGAGCCGCCGCCGCACTAGCCGGAGTCGACGACAATCTCAGGTCCGTTTCTTCATTCGTGTAACGGATTACTTCATGTCTGTGTTTTCCTTCGTTTCAATAGAATAATCACTTGTTTCACATAAAGTAGTAGATCCACGGTCTGACTATGGTGACAGGATCTGCACTAGTTCAATAAGAATAGCTCAATTGAAATCCCTCAGTATCGCGTCATTTCTTATGCGCAAAGTTTTTATTTTTTATGTTCGAAAAGAATTAAGAAATGGCTATGTATACGCGAAAGTGTTAACTCAGGCCTACAGTGTTATCTGTTGTTTATAAAGTCTAGGTTAAAATCATGTATTTTCGGTAATTATGAATCTGGGTTAGCATATATGATTATAATTTCTCTACACGAAAGATGAACCCGATTCAAAATCTAATTGATGTCTTCCTAAGACCCACGTATTTTCTCTAGTCTGTTTGTTGTATTTGATGACAATAATGAGAAGTTTTAATGGGATCTATTGCTTTTAGCAGTGAAAATGGCGGACACCAAGGCAGTGACTATTCGAACAAGGAAGTTCATGACAAATAGACTTCTTTCCAGGAAGCAATTCGTAAGTTATTTGTACAACTCAAACTTATAAAGATAATATGTGATAATGCTAATATACTTTTATGTTTGAAATTACCTCTTTTTGAAACAATATTTGCCTTGATATTTTTAGGTTATTGATGTGCTTCATCCTGGCAGGCCAAATGTCTCCAAGGTTTGACACTAATCAATTCATAAATTCATATGTTACACCATTTAATTAATAACTGGTTATTGAAAATCCTTTTGTTTTTTTATTTAAGGCTGAATTGAAAGAGAAGTTGGCAAGGATGTATGAGGTGAAAGATCCAAGTTCCATATTTGTATTCAAGTTCAGGACCCATTTTGGAGGAGGAAAATCTACTGGTTTTGGTTTGATCTATGATTCTGTTGAGAATGCAAAGAAATACGAGCCAAAATACAGACTTATCAGGGTAATTCTCAACAAATTTTGAATTTTAATCTTTATGGTTCTTGGATTTTTAAATTAAGCTTTATGTTGTTTTTTTTATTCTTTTTTTGCAGAATGGATTGGATACCAAGATTGAGAAGTCAAGGAAACAGCTAAAGGAAAGGAAGAACAGGGCAAAGAAGATTAGAGGTGTAAAAAAGGTAAACCTCTTATACCCACATTGTATTATTATTATTTTTATTTGATTTTTTTCTTAAACTTGATTTCATTTTGTTTTGTAGACAAAGGCTGGGGATGCTGCCAAGAAGAAGAAGTGAGAGGCATTGAGAGATTTTGTGTGGTTATTTTGCATGTTGGTTTTAGCATTTTTGACGTTGTATTTCTTGGAATTAAGTTAAATGTAGGTTTTCAACTTTTTAAAAAAATGGAGATTGGTATTCTGTAGTCTTATCTTTAACTTCACTCTTCATGTTGGCTTTCTTTAAAAGATTTTCATGTTTGAAGTTGTATTGCTTCCTTCGTGTTATGTAGAGGATACTATTGTCTACCATCCATTAAAACATTAGCAATTCTAGACTTTTAAATATGTTGATCAATAAAAAATGTATAGTACAAAGTTTGGGCTTTTATAAGTAAACTGCCTTTTTTATAAATATAATCAGAATTAGTAGGTTAACTAAGAAAAATTATCTTTAGAAAAAAAAAACTTTTCTCAATATAATATCAAGTTTTGTAAAATTGTGATCCTAAATTCGTACAATATCAAGATATGATCATAAGAACATCGTTATAAATGTCTAGTACCAGTACTGTTTTTAACAAGCAGAATATGAATCCTAGAAAATTCTTTTGATTTTTTATTACTAAATAATGGAATGGAGACTGTTATTTTTTCATGCTTTTGGTAGGCCCATAATCGATCTCACGATCATGATTTTACAAATCAGGTTTTTGAAGACTTCCTCTATGTAATTTCATCAAAACATAAACATTTAAGCATGATATACAAAGCAAAATAGTACAATAGTTATTATGTTTTTTTTTTCTTCTCCATTTTATGTTTTTCTAAATCACAAGTTGTATTTTTAATTTGTGTTCAATATTGTTGTCTCTTAGTAAGCTCTATAACATGTACACTTTGCTTATTTAAGCCTTTTATAGGTTGAATACCCGCACCCTCATTAATTTGATAATGAATTAGGGTTTGTATAACCCACATGAAATTCAAGTCGATAGCACTGCGCAACCTATGTTTGGTTCATTGGTGAAAGGTAACAATATGTTAGTCCTTTCGTCAATAGTTGTTGATTTCTCACCCTTTGGTTAGTGGTTGAAAGTAACTATTAAACTTATGTCAATGTCTTCTTACGGTCAAATGGAAGACTACTACAATCCACACTTTAAAGAAAGTGTATTGGGCTTTAAAAAAATAAATAAA